CAGGGCTGGTGCTCTATCCACTGCGCCACCTAGCTGCCCTGAACGTAGTGCTTTTTTCATAATATCTATAGTAGTCATTTAATGTTTATTGAACTGAATACATTTCAAATATATAAATATTTCCTTCTACATTTGCAATGCAACATTGCCATTAGAGTCATCTTTTCAAATAAGGGACAAACTATATACAAAACCTAGAATAAAGCTATGAAATGTTGCTCCTTTGAGGGAAAAATCATATTCAGTTAATTGGTTTACTTAACTAGCTAGGTTGCTATGATATCTGGATAATATGTAAGGAGATAGAAGACAGATGGGAAGCCATATTTGACTTTCCTTGTTTTCTTTGTATTTTCATTGGTAATATTATATTTCTTTATCCTTGGCCCTTTCTTGACCTCAAAACAAAGTTCTCTAAGGAATTTTTTAGCAAAGTTAAAAATGCTGATTAGATTGCATTGTGAAATTATCAAAGATTAAGTTCTTTCCCAGGAAATTAATTAGTTGTGCATTAAAATAATATTGATGTATCATTATGTGTAAAACAAATTCAGTGATCTTAAATCATTGTATCTTTTATTGTGTGTGGACAACAGAGTTTACCAATACACAGAACTTTTTTTTTTCCTGTAACTGATAGACTGCCTAGAAAATGAAATATTTTCAATAATAAGGAAATATTAAACATAAATCATAAAGACCTAAAGATTTCTCTAGAATCTTACCTTTCAATATTTCTCTGAAGTTGTTATATAACCTCTGTGGATAATATAATTTATTCTAAACTGAAAGTTAAAAGAAAGTGTTCATATTCTTATCATAAGATAAGGAAGCTATCATCTGCATAATTGTTTAATGTTTAGATAATTCTCCATTTGCACAAATTCATTGCTTTTATTTTTCATGATTGGCATTTTCAGGTTTCTTTGTAAAGTATCATATTTCCCTTGCAAAACCATCTTATTTTTGTCTTTGCCTTCCCAGTGACAAGTATAGTCGTCTTTTACACAGTAGCTATTTAATATGTTGTACAGCTGGGAGGCATAGTGGATAGAGCACCTGGCCTGGAGTCATGAAGACCTGATTCTAAATCCTACCACATATACTTACTAGCTGTGTGACCCTGGGCAAATCACTAACCTCTGTTTGCCTCAGTTTCCTCATCTCTAAAATAAGCTGGAAAAGTAAATGGCAAATCACTCCAGTATCTCTGCCAAGAAAAATCTCAAATGGGGTCATGAAGAGTCAGATATGACTGAAACGAATGAACAGTAACAAAAACGTTTAATAATGTTGTTAAATTGAAATGAATTGAATGAACTGAAAATCTTATATCTTTGTATTAGTTTAATTACCTTTCATAGAAAGAATCACATAATAATAAAGAATGATATAATATATCATTTCAACTACAAATTAGGTAAAATGCCTAACTCCAAAGGAGTTTGTGAGGATCAACAGAAATATCACGTTAAGCAGTTTGTTAATAATAAAATGCTAAATAAATGCTATTCATCCCTAACTGCCTGACAGGAAGACAGAGATGTGCCTTGGAGCTAGGGCAATCTGGATACAAGTCCTGTATCTGACCATGTGTGACCATGAGCAAGTCAGTTATTCAATGGAGTTACAGATCTAGACCCTGCCCCATCAATCTTACTTTTATCATTAATGTACATGAATCGTTATACATCACGCGAGTTCAGATATAAATGTATACCAAGAAACTACAGTATATATTGTTATAATCTGTGCCCTATTGAGCATTTCACAGCCTCAGTTTCCTCATTTAGGAAATGAGGGAATTGAATTAAATCATTAAAGTTTGCTTTACCTCTAAAGCAATACCACCTACATTGATGTTAACCATTTAAAAACTGTCTGTGTAACTCTTTTAGTCTCAGGGAAATTACTCAGAAAATGTCCCCATATCTTTCACTGTTTATTTCCCTGGAAATTTTTTGGCTTTGCACTAACTCAGTTGCTGATGTTCTCAGTGATGTTTTTCTTTGGGATCCCATGAAGTTTGTTGTGTTCATTGATCATTGTCATGTTACTATCTGTTTTCATCCATCTCTTCTGTTCTCTCAGTGTCTAAGATTCTTTAGGTAGAGTATTCATCTTGCTGGGTATTTCCTCTAAATTTTCAGCTTTGTGGTGTTTTTTCACTATACATTCTTCATATCCTCTCTTCCTAGATGTGTGATTATTTATTTTCCTCCTTCCCTCCCCTCGTCTTCCTTTTTTCTCTTCTTTTTCTCTCTACCTTTTAACTCAAAATAGGTGCTCATAACCTTTTCTTTAAAAAATTCAGATGCTTTTTTCAAAGTGACATTTATTTTTTCAGTTATATTTCTATTTTATTTCATAGTTAGTTTTCATTAAAATAGGTGCAATATACACAAGATTAGTTTTCAAGAAAAATTCATGGTTGTTTCACCATACTGAATCAATCCAACCATTATTACTTTTATGATTTGAAAAAAAAATTAAACATATTGGCCCATGTTTAAACTTTCCAGTTTAGGTAGTATATAGAGAGTGTGCTTTAGAGCTAGAAAAACTCAGATTCAAGTATTGATTCTGAACACATGCTAACTGAGATGCTGGGCAAGTCACAAACATTCATTGGTCAGAGCATACACATCAAAGGTAGTATGAAACACTACCAAGTAGCCTCAATCAGACTAAAATGTAATTGGTAAATATTTAACCAAGCAAATAAAAATATAATAAAACATAATGCCGTTTTCTAAGTCAATATGCACCAGCAAGGATCTTTATATACAGTTTAGTGACTCCTATTTCTATCTGAGTTTGGCACCACTCACACAGAGCATTTGGAGGGGTTTCTTCTGGAGGAATTTCCTGCACTGACAAAACTATAGGTCTTGATCCTTCTGCTCCAATACCACATCCCAGAGTGTATTAAAAAAAATGCTTCTATGTAGAAAACCTGTTTTTACTTGTCACTTTTTTTTAAAAAAATGTCATGTTTAATGCAGAAACCTTAAATACACTCAAATTCATAGATTGAAACCTAATTAAATATAAAAGTCATGCATAGGTGCACACACATGCACACTGATATATACAAACTTTCTCACATTCAAAAAACCTGTAGTTTTACAGAAAAATAAAATTTAGCATAACAATCCAATACACAATACCCCCAAATCAGAATCTGTAGAATTATATAGAATTTTGTAATTGAAATGGTCATGGGAGATGAGAAAACAAATGAGAAAAAATTAGGTTGAGTGGTTAAGCAATTAAAAAAAGAAATCCAGTTTGGTAGTTCCCTTGGAACTTGTACATATGGTATTAATTTAAAATAGTGCCCTTGAACTATAAAGATCTTTCCTGATAAAGCATGCTGGACTGAAATTTTAAAAAGCTTCTGATTTAATTTTCATCCAATACTAAATTTCTCATCCAATAATGAACTGCTCTAATCCAATTCTATCCAATAATGAACTTTCAAGAGAAAAAAATAAAGCAGACATACAACCAGATGAGAGTAATCATAGTTTTACTCCAGGAAAACAATATCTTCAGAGCCCATGCTTCTTTCCTAGAGGTGAAAATCCATTTCTCCCCACTATTTGCCTAGAAATCAGCACCTCCATACCTTGTACCTTACTCTTCTCTATGCCTACATTATGAGGCACAACCTTGCTACATTATTTGGTTCCAGTGATATCCTTCTCACATAGCCTCATTTCTTTGATTCTTGTGGGAAGACTGGCTAGACTTTCTGCAGGGTGATCCATCCCCTTCACCAAAATAATCTGCACTCAAGTTTCAAATTAGTTTCTGACATCACCTTCCTCTTTTCCCCATTCCTTCTCAAATATTTTTGCCCCATCTGAAAAAAAAAACTCTAATTTAGGTTCTGAAACAAAAAGCTGATATTAATTAGCAAGATTTTTTTCAGGTCACCACACTCATGAATGAATACAAACTCATTTACTGAAAGCCCTTTACTGTTTGGGTCCAGCCTTCATTCTGGGCTCGCTAGACATTATTCCATTTTACATGCTCTACATTTTAGCCAAGGTAGACTATTTATGATTCCTTGAATTTAGCATTCCATCTCCAAGACTTTGCAGAGCTTGCACTTCATGTTTAGAGTATACTTCTTCCTCAATGTAACAACTTAGTTTGGTCACAGTTCACCACAGTCATTTAATCCTTACAACTCATGATATATTCAACCTGGTATGTGCCTCCTTATATCTCTATAGAACCTATGATAATGTTAATTATTTTTTTGTAAAACTTTATCCTATTATTTCCTTTTATCCTGACAACATAATTTAATAACATCATTGCCATAAATGCAAATTCTCTGCAAATAATATATATCTAGGATATATTTGTTGAATGAATTTATATATAATTTTATTGGTAACTATATTTATCTACTTTAATCTATTTTAATCTGCATTTCTTTCATTATGTATCTTTCCTGTAAAAGCCATGGCTCTATACCATTTCCTTTTTGTTCAACCATATTTCATGAATGATATATACGTTGTAAAACCAAAAGTAGACTGAATTTATCTTTTGACTGGTTTACCTTTGGTCTAGAAAGACCAGGTCCATGTGAAGAGAGGACAGAAGACAAGAATAACTTGTTTAATGTCCTCCACCATTTGTGGGGCTCCTGACAAATACTGAAACAGATTTTGTCCATAAGACTCTTTGTCATTCAATTATAACATCAACAAAAACTTAAAGCTATTTTTGCCTATAAGATGAAGGCAATGAAAGTTTATTATTTTGTATCAATTATGAATATAACATATTCTAAATCTGGAAATCAGGCTTATACAGTTTTATATATACAGTTTTAGCATACTTGGTTATGGGATATGAAAACATTCAGGTATTAAAATGTGATAATCATACCAATTATTTTACATTATTTGTAAAATATTACTGATCTACCATTATAGGGTTTTTTTTTAATACTGATATTGATTTCCTCTCCCCAGAACACTATCAGCTATATGTCCCTGAATCAGCTCAAGTTGGTTCAGCTGTAGGAAAAATCAAGGCAAATGACGCTGATACTGGAACAAATGCTGACATGAAATACACAATCATCAATGGTGATGGCATTGGAGTGTTCTCCATATCAACTGACAAAGAGACAAGAGAAGGCATTCTTTCCTTGAAGAAGGTAAAAATATATATATATTTTCAAACTGTAATCTGTTCTTAATTATTTAAATTAATGGAACAAAGTATATATATAGACATAATCTAAATTGGACAATAACCCCCAAACTACTTATTTTACCTTGGACATAATTTTATCTTTATAATTGAATATCAATATCTCTGATGCTCTCAAACTCCAAGTTTTGTAACATAACACTGCACCCACAAAATCTGATATGGAAGCAGCTAAGAATCTATTCGTTTTCTTTCTCCTAACTCCATATCCTAGACAATCTCTGAAAGGCCTTCCATGCTGGGAACTAATGCAACATTCGTTCTCTCTCAAATCTGCCATCAAATACTACAGATGGTTAAGTGTCTGAGATTCAAGAAGCCCTTCTGAATATCTGGTAAACAGAATTAAAATGTCAATGTGTCCCTAATGAAGTCAGTTCATGCTGACAATAGTTGGACTTTTTGATGACAGCACAATAGGAATTAAATAGGATGGGGGGGTGGCTTTAAGTGAATTTGAAAGCATAAATTGCTATAGCTAATCACCTCACAAATAATATTCCAATGTTAGAAAAGTTGATAGACAAGCAAGCTTCAAAACACAGTTAGTTTCCAATTAGTTCAAACACTGAATCTTCTGAAATGGTCACAGTGTTTGAATTTGCATCACATATTTCCATTGGATTGCAACTAATTACCATATTTTACATATAAATATAATCTCAAATTTGCGTATGTGCAACCACTTTAAGGAATTTATTATTGTATTCATCCCCAATCTGGAAATGATAATACACATGAAAGTAAACTTTGGAGAGGAATTTCTAGCATTTAGTTCTAAGGTGTGGAATACGGAAGAGACTTGTGAAGGCTGTGCTAACAATTGTGGGAAATAAATCAGCTCTTCCACATTTAGTGAATGGTAGTCATTTTCCATAGATATTCAAGGCTCAAGTACATTGAAAGATGTACTGCTGGATCCTCATCCAGATCATGCCCTTTAACTGTAGGTGCAGGTCCTTTTCTCTTCTCCCTCTATACTATTTTACTTAATGATCTCATCAGCTCCCATGGATTTAATTACCATCTCTATGTTAATAATCCACATATCTACCTATCCTTCCCCAATCTCCCCACTGACCTCTAGTTTTACATTTCTAACTACAGACATCTCCAACTGGATGTCTAGTAGATATCTTAAACTCAACATGTACAAAATGGAACTTATTATCTTTCCCCCTAAAATCCATCTTCCACAATTTCCCTTCTACCATAGAGGGCAGCACCATGTTTCCATTCTCTCAGGCTGGTAACTTAGGTGTTATCCTTGACTCCTGACCATCTCTCACCTCATTCTCCCTTCCCTGTATGCAATCTGTTGCCAAGACCTCTTTATTTCACCTTTGCAACATTTATCAAATATGCCCATTTCTCTACTCTTACATTATCACCACTCTAGTGCATGCCCTCATCACCTCATGTCTGCATTGTTCCAATAACCTGATTATGGTTCTGCCTGCCTCAAATCTTTTTTCATTCCAATCCATCCTCCACTCAGCCACTAAACTGATTTTCCTAAAGTCCAAGTCTAACCATGTCACTCCCCTATTCAATAAACCCCAGCGCCTCCCTATTGCCTTCAGAATCAAATACAAAATGTACTTGGTATTCAATGCCATTCATAACCCAACACCTTCCTACCTTTCCAGTCTTCTACCTTACACCTTGACCTGTACTCTTCCACGAAGTAGCATTAGCCTCCTTGCTATTTCACGAACAAGACACTCCATCTCTCAGCCCCAGGCATGTTCTTTGGTGGTACCCTAGCCCTGGAATGCTCTCCCTCCTTATCCCCATCTACTGCAGCTAAAATATCATCTTCAACAAGAAACCTTTCCCAACTTAGTGCTTTTCCTCCTTTAATTATTTCCTATTTATCCTTTATACAGCTTGTTTGTAAATATTCATTTGTTGTCTCCCATATCAGATTATGAGCTCCTTAAGGGCAGGGATTTTTTGCCTCTTTGTTTCCCTAGCACAGATCCTGGCCCACAGCAAGTGCTTAATATTAGTTTATTTACTTACTGACATTAAACCTTTTTTGATTTCTTTAGTTTTTTATTGAAACTCATAGATAACAGAAAGTATGCTCCTTTATAAGATGTGATAAAGATACAATTATTAACAATATGCTATTGGTAAAGAAATTTAGAAATAGTGAGGATATCTATGTAATGGAAGTATTTTCAGGAATATTGCATTTTTTAAGATACACAAGCATAATGTACATTACCCACAAAATAATTAATCAGGAAAATATTTTTTCATGAATGTTCTTGTCTATAAGACCCCAAAAGTTTTATTTAGAAATAAAACTTGGATCTTTTTTCTATTTCTACTATAGAAGCAATGGCTGCTAAACTGGGAATTTCTACACAGCATACTTCTAGTTTACCCTGATCTCTCTGCCTTATAAATAAAAATAATAAAAAAAAATGCATTGCCTTGATTTATATTTTTCAGTATTAAGGTATTTGTAAATTTCCATAATCATTTATTTAGCACCTTCTGAGTACATTTTGGCAGGTAATTATAAATGGTCTGCAAATAGAGATAGCCCTTAGCCTCCAAATTCTGACTTTCTAAAAATTTGGACCTTTTAGAAGATATTATGTAAAGAGAGAGTAAGATATTAACAGAGACAGTGCTCTGTTTTTATTTAGATATATTAATTCATGTTTTTATACTGAATTTTTATTTTTTCTTTTTAATTTTTGAAGTCTTTTTTAGTTTCTTCAAACCACTCTCTGTTTCATAATATTTTCAAGTTAATTAACATTTTCCCAGGTTATAAATAAAAATATCAAATGAGACCAGACTTAGTGGCATTCCCTATGGCAACCAAAAATGTCCTTCACCTTGATACACACACCATTTAACTCCCAGTGCTGTCCTAAAGCAATTTGGGAGCCTGTAGGAATGCCCATACACAAGCCTGTCACAATGTGGATTTTGTGAGAGTTACTAAGACCAAAATATCATATTTTAGCCCTCTGATATTTAGACTATCTGATGAAATCACTCAAGATTCTGAAAGATATGAAGCCCTTGGTGCAAGCTTTTAAGTACCTCTATATATTCCTGAGGCTTAACATCTCTTGTGTTTTTAAAAGTCCATTTCCCACACTCTTGTAAGTCATCATGGTCTTATGGGTCCTCAAGGTCTAGACTGAATCAAACTAAATTCTTGACTTCATCCCAAGGGACAGACTATGAGGTATATCCACAAGATGCCCTGCACATGAAACAAACAATAGGTATTTTTCATCCATTGGATTTTCCTTTTCTCTCTCTCTCCTTGCTAGCAACCAAATCAATTATTTTTCCTATCTTCCCTTTTTCTGTCAAGGGCACCACTATCCTTCTGATCATACAACATTCTCAACATTAAAATTCCACTTGACTCCTCAGTGTCCCTCACCCCCAAAATCCAATTATTCATAATTTATTGGTTATATTTCTATAACATTTCTCATATCTGTCTCCTCACCATTCACATGGCCACCACCCTAGTTCAGGGCTTCTTCACTTCTCTTCTGGACTATTATAGTAGCTTATTAAATTACCTCCCTACCTTAAATCTCTCCCTTCTACAACTTTCCTTCTCATAGCTGCCAAAGCAATATTTCTGAAACACAGGTCTGATATAGTCACTTTCTTGCTCAGCAAACTTTAGTGGCTTCCTATTTTGTCTGTGGTTAGGGGGCAGCTAGGTGGCACAGTAGATTGAATGCTGGGGATGAAGTCAAGAAGAGTCATCTTCCTGAATTCAAATCTGGCTTCAGACACCAATTAGCTGTGTGACTCTAGGCAAAACCTGTTTGCCTCAGTTTCCTCATCTGCAAAAATGAGTTGGAGAAGGAAATGGCAAACCCCTCCAGTGTCTTTGCCAGGAAAACAAACCACGAATGTGGTTGCAAAGAGTTTGACACAAATGAACAACAATAAAATTTTATTTAGGATCAAATATGGATGAAGCTGGTGGACGTTTAAAGGCCTTCTAAACTTAGCTCCCACCTGCCTTTCTAGTCTTATTATAAATCACTCCTTTAAAAAAAATCAAATTCAATTTTTTTCAATTAACAATACCAAGCCTTCTCTCCTTCCCATCCATCCCCAATGAGAAAAAAAAAGAAAAAGAAAGACAAAACTCCTTTTTGTATGTGAATGGGTACACACACACACACACACACACACACACACACACACACACACACACACACACACACATATATGTGTGTGTGCATATATATGTATGCATATGCATGTATGTTCATGCACATATGTAAGCAAATAAAATTCCCACCTTGGACATGCCTCCTAAATAAGTATTTCAATCCGTACTCTGAATCTAGCATATCCCTTTTCAGAGGTGGATAGCATGTTTCATCATGAATCCTTTATAATGATTTTTTGCATATTGCATTGATAAAGTTGTCTTTCAAACTTTTTTTTTACAATACCATTGTTATTGTAAAAATTGTTCCGTAATAAAATGCTCACTTTACTTTGTAACAGTTCATACAAGTTTTTACAAGTTTCTCTGAAACTATCCCTTTTATTGTTCCTTATACAATGGTGTGATACCAAATTCATAAATGAGAACTTGTTCAGATTCTACTTCTTTGTCACCAGAAAAAGAACTGCCATAAATATTTTTGCTTGTAACGTATAAAAAGCTCAAGAAACATAGCTTCTGGGTAATTAATCATTTTATTAATCATGCTATCAATAATTAATAAAAGAGGTCAGTGGCACTCTCAAATGTTGAAGATCTTTCATGGAACCCACTTAATGCTTAAATGCCCTTGAAAGAGTGAGTGTTCTAGAGGGTGGTAATCAACTTTTTTGTTAACAAATAATAAAAGAATGAATATTATGAGAGGTGGGCTTATTCTAATGAGGGTCGTCTGAGGGATATGACTCAATCACTCAGTCTTGGTC